GAACTTTTATATTTTTAACTTTTTATTTTAAATATACAGTATGGTGCAGACATACAGTGTAAAATATACATAATTATAATATTTTAATATATAGATTTACAATAAATAGTTTAAATTTAAATATAATAATAATAATAATAATAATGACACAGTTTAGCATTTAAACCATAATGGCCTATATTAATGATGTTCCACAGATTCTGAAATTTTTTTAAATTGTATTCATTACTTTTATAATGTTAAGTGACTAATATGTATGTTAACTGTTTTGTGGTATATATGTATTGTTTAATATATTATACAATATTAAAACTTATATAAATACTGTTTTATATTACGGCTGTGGTACGCAAAATTCTTTTAGAATATTAAGTGTTATATACATTATTATTTATTATATATACCAAAATATTATTACTTTTTTGAGATGTTGATCATGAATATTTTAAAAACATAAATTGCACTTAAGTAAACATGGTGTGTGAAGAAAATTATTATTGAATTAACCAATAGTGCTAAACAGTTTACTAATTAACATAATATAGTCATAGTTGTCTATCATAAAGTACTGTTTAGACTTATACTATATATTAGTAATATAAAACATTATATTATTATATATTCATCAATAGAGATTGACTACCTGTTTTACATAATTAAACATATCATAAATTATTATATTTGTATAAAGGTATATCAATTATATTAATTGTTAAATTAAATTAAATTAGTTATTACTTATTATGTTAGAAATATAAATGTTAACAATATCGCAATTTACCCAATTGATAACTTAATATGTTATAAATAAATAATAATACACAATACTTTGGTAAAATATAAAACTCAATAAAGTTTTAAAAAAATGTCTAATTTTATCTATACGATTATACCAAATAAATATATATCATAATATGTACTTAGAACAAAATGAATCTGATTGGATTCAGTCATTAGTGTTAATTGTATGTGTATATTTAATATTTATTATATTGGTATGATATTGGTATTTATTTCCATATTCAACCCATAAGTGGTACGACATTTTAAGAAGTAAACCAAAACAAAAACTGCAGCGGTCTATGGCACCAGACCATACCACTTTCAGGTTAATTATTCAAATAATGAATCGTTATATGTACCTAAGATTGTTTATTTAAGTTCAATAAGTTAACATGTATGGCGTAGAGTCTAGGAGAATAATAATGAATAATAAACTAACAATCTTATATTATGCTTACCTGCAACTACCTAAACACATAAGTAATGCCACTGCCTAATAAATATACTAAGTGAAGTAGTACACAATATGATTGGAAATATATTAAAAAAATTTCCGGTAATAAAAAAAAAATACGGCCTCAGTTGTGAAATTGTATTTGTATATATTATAATAATATGATGTTAAAAATTTAAATATTTTTTAATTCGGCGGCCAGTGATAAATGTTATTTGTTGTTTATTCCAAGCCAAACTGATATGATATTTTCATCCATGAAAGTGATATAAACCGTTTTTTTTTCTAGTGATATAAACCGTTTTTATTTACTGTCTGGTTAATAATATGGAGATCGAATGATATTACGACCTGATATGACGATTGATAGCAAGATAACCAGGTGATGGTGCGGTTGTCCCGGAACGACGCTCGCACTCCCGTCGAAAATGGCGAAGTGGTCGATGACACCGAGTACTGGCGACCGGTGGTCGACGGTGGTATGGAACTCACTGGAATCGTCGGAGGTAAGTCGAACTTGGACGACGCGGGCTTGCAGGGCGGCTACGGCCGAGCAAGGTTGCGGGCTGTCGTGCTTGATGTGTTTGGTGTCGCGGCGTATGAGAACGGCCGGACACGTGATCTCGATACCTACTCGAGACAAGGTAACGAAAGTAGGTAGATAATGCGTTGATCGCGGTACAGGCAAATAGCTTCGGGTGCGAACGCGACGTAAATGCGACGCACTAAAACATATGAGTCACGGGTTCGTGTGACGAGCAGTGGTAGGGCACGTGAACACAGGGATGATCACGGCAATCGTACTGCGACGAGGGACGGGCGATGATTTTATTTTACGTACGTACGGCGAGGTTTGCACGGTAAAAATATAAAAGCAAACAAAGCGGCAACGGACGACACGCACCGGTCGTCGCGGCTACTTCACCCGTACCAGGCATACGAAACTCCGTGCGTTGGCCGAACCAGGCGATTGTGGCCTTGAACACGGTCTTCAGGAGGGCGTGGCATACGTGAAAACCCCGCGTCCCGTATCCCGCCATAGTACCGACCCCGCGTCCCGTATCCCGCCTTAGTCTTGGAACCAATTTTATAATATACGGGTATAACATCATGTTGGTGTGGGAACCAATTCCATGTTATCGTAGGTTCAGACTTCAGATCATAGGGAACCAATACCCCAATCAGCTGATCGAGTTTCGCTTCTATACTGTTCTATGATTGAAGTCAACCGCCATATGCCAACAGGGCAATGTTTACAAAATCGCATGATTGATAAGAATATTTAATAATAAAATGATAACAAAACAAATGTCAAAAACTCAAAATGTACAGTGTAATTTTATTATATTTTAACTTTTTTAAACATTTTATTTTATACAATAATGAAAATAAATACATACAAGATAAAATTATTAAGTACATAATACATTTCAATCTATATTATAATAAATATTATTTACAAAAGAAAACAGTAAAATATAGTGTTGGACAATTTTTATAACAATTAGTGATTACTGATTTGAAAATAAAATTAATTTAGAAAGTTTATGCCTTTTGCTTACTGGATTCATGATATCTGAAGAATACATTTTTGAGAATGATTTTAACTTTAACTTTAAAAATTTTTTTGTTAATAGTGTAATTAATAGAATCTTATGGGGCCGTTCTAGAATGGATATATTTTCACAATTTAGGTTTAGAAATATATTTTTATCTATTGAGAAAGTGACTATAATATGTTTAATTATTTTAATTTCAAGACTAGTAATTTGAAGTGATTTAAAATTATCTGTTAAAAATAATAACATTTTTTCTGCTTCTAGTATAATTAAAAACACAGATTTAGAACCAAATACAAACTTAGTAAATGATAAACTTTTAAAATAGTCATGTTCATTAAATTTATCTAATACAGCGTTTTCACATGAAGAACAATCCAAATTAAGTTTTCTAATTAGGTAACCCACAATATAATATAAAATGTTGTTCTTAGCATTTTGTAAAGTACTTGAGTAATTATTTGATTCAGGAATGTAAGAACTTAGAAGTTGTAATTTTTTTAATGCCTCAATGTCAATTGTTTCGAAGTTTACCTTTTCATAGTCAATATTATCTTTTTTAGTCTTCCATTTAAAATCAAATAGAGAACCTATTGGATCGTCATCAAATGTGTTGCAGTTATGTTTTGATCTACATTTAATTGCATTTTTCATCAAGATCTGTTTTATGGCTGTTTTAAATTGAGCTGTATTAGGATTATTGTTTGAAAATAAACGCTGCCTAAATCGGCCAAAAAGCAATTCGAGATGATCTTGTGAGAATTTATACGTTAAAAGGTATTTGAAATTAGGTTGTTGTACAAAAAGTGATCTGGACATTGAAAAGAAAGATTTAACTGCTATTGCAAAACCTAATATGAAGGTTTTCTTACTTGATATATGTAATGGAGATCCTTTGAATTTTAAAGTGTATAAATATTTAATTAGTGGAATAATGATTTCTTCAAGTTTTTCAATGGTATTATAATAAATTGGACTTTTAAAAGCTTTTGAATTACTTTAATTAAAAATCAAATATACGGTCTATTACTCTACAGTATTCTACAGTGGCTTTAACATTCTCAAAACCAGGGAAGTTAATATTTTTTAGATATTCTAAGGAATCTGCTGTAGATGAGCTCAGGGTCTGGGCAGCATACTGGACTCGCATTTTATTATTATGCCAGTTAACATGGGGCATACTCAATTTATTAGCTAATTTTAATGTTAAATCTTTTTGAACCTTAAATAGATTTCTGATATGGTCCCATCTAATGTAACCAGTATCAGATTCTAATACATAATTATTAGCTAAAATGTTCCGGGCTAATTTTAACATGTGACATGCGTCCGGAATATAATATACTTTAGATCTAGTTACTGGATGCTCAAACCAACTTTCAATATCATCACAGTTATTGCCTATTTTGCATACTAAAAATTTTAAAGTAGATACATTTGTATAGGCCCCATCACACATTACACCCCAGAGAGTCAACCCAGCATTATGAGCATGAGTAAGGCCTGATTTAATTAGTTCAGCTTAATAGAGTTATTTATTTGAAAAACATACCCAATTGGTAATTTCCACTTTCCATTAATACTGGTCAACATAAATACTAATGCCTCAGTAGCTGGTGTTTCAGATCCCTCAAGTTCAAATGCATTGCCATAATCACAATACCCAACAGACATGCCCAGTCTTTCATCCCATGAAATCTGTTTTTTTTTATAGACATGGCATCAAAAATTAGATTACAGTGTCTGTCATCTGGACTCATGGTTTGAAGTGCATCAAAAACTTCTTTGAAAAAACCTGGCTCGCCATTAATGCTTGAAGTCCAGTTAAGAATTGATTTACCACTTGGCAATTTCAAAAATGTTCTAAAAAAAATGATTTGATTGTAAATTAAGTGCAAAGCATGTATTTTAATATGTGATTAGCAAAATAATTTGTGATAGCAAAAAGTATAATACCTGCAATATTTAAGCGCTTTAGGTGAATAATAATGAAGCGTAGCAGCAAACTCTTTAAGCAGTTTAGAGTATCTATACCCTGTTGGTCTTTTACCTTTGTTTTTGAGCTCGTTTCAAAAAATTTCTTGGGATGTACTTTCAAATTGATCAATTTATAAATTAATTAAATTAATTAATTGCTCACATTGTTCTTCGATCAAACCTTTAGAACGCATATTTTGTAATAAGCTTTTTAAGTTATTTATTTTTTATCCCTTCGTCTTATTCCTTGTTGCAACAATTTTATTTTTTTTTGTTAACTCAATTTTCCTAGGTGTTAGAGGTTCACTTGTATGTTTACTTTTTGTTTTAGGAGAAATTAAAGGCCTTCTTGCTGTTACTTTGGACGGAGTAGTCAATAATAAATTATTTGTATCAATAATCCCTCTAATAGGTGAATTTTCTTCAATGTTTTGTTCAATTTGAGATTTTTTTTCTGATGTATTACCAGGGAAAACAGATGGTACAGCAGTATCATTTAAATGTAAACGGTAATTGCTTCCTGGATTTATTTTGAAATCGGATGCTACAAAATGACTGCTGCAAATAGCACTGTTTTTTGTTGGAATAAATCCTTTACGCCCCACAGCATTTATCCAAAGTTGGTTTCTTTCAGCATTTTTTAAAGGAAATCTAAAATCCATACAACAATAAACAATTAAATAAGAAATGCTTTATCTAATTAAACTTATTAGTAACTGTAGATATGGATTGAACATCCAATCCTAAAAGTTAAATTATAGTAAAAAAAAATTATTTTGCAGGTACTTACGAAAAAAAATGGATACTGCCATCACGTTGCCTTCGATTAGTACAGTCATGGGCGGAACAAGAAACTGGCATCTTATTAATTACTTTAGTATGTAGGTTATGTAGGTACCGTTTGGTAATTTTATTACTAATTTAGCCCAAAGTAATTCAATTTGTATTTTATATTCTGGTAAAAGTAAAATATGAATAGAAATACGTTTTTTGTATTATTGTTTATTATCAGATATCAGTACAGTATCTTATTTATTGAATTAAGGCGCCTTCACAGCTCCCCGTGAAACGTGATTTCATGAAGAATATTCTAGAACTGTGATTGGTTGAACCATGTGGTCATCTAATGGTTAACCATAATTTTTTTCTTAATACCTTATCTATACCGCTTATACCGTATAGTTGAGTTAAATCCTACTCAGAGCTTGTGTTTACCGTATGGTTGACAGTCGTGGTTAAGAATATTTTTATTATCATTTATTTTCATAATATAATTTTAATAAAATATAAGTATTTGAAAATTCATACTCAAAAATATATTATAACATCAAGAATTCTGAATTACTATGCAAGACATCCATCCTTCTCGTTCCGTTGTAGTAAGTAGAAATCAATAATAATTAATATCATAAAAATTGTATATGTCTATGGTAATTAATAGCTATTAAATTTAAGGTGATTTGCACGCTATTAAAAGTATGCAGCTTAATTAAAGACGTTTTTGCTTTGCTATAGACGCCTATAGCAGTTTGATAGCTTATTAATGCATTTTATTCAGGGTCGCATGTGTAAAGACTGCAATGCATTTATTGTTGGTTCAAAAAATGTAAAACATGATTGCTCAAACGCCTCAACGACCAGCGTTAATATTCAGCCTAAATCACCGGTCTTTCTGCCAAGTAATCTGTCTAGAAATAGTAAGCATTTTTTGAAAATTTTTATGTACCTATCTAATTCAATTTTCAAAATTCAAACGAGTAGTTTTGTAGTTATTAAAATACTTTTGTGCACAATAATAATAGGTAGTCCTTAACATGTTTACAACAATATAAAATAAATGTAATATGATCAAAATATTTACCTGGAAAATGTTTAACAAATAATAATCATGTTTGTAGATTCTGTACAAAAAACTTGTTACGATGAGTTTTACAAGGATATAGAATTAACAATCGATGAAACAACCGAAGTAGATACAGTCACTGATGATACAACCAATATAATAGAACAACTTATTCTTGAAGTGGAGAAAAGAAGGCCACTATGGGACCATCGACTACCAAAAATGCAAAGGTATCCCAATGTTGTTAATAGGCTATGGGAAGAAATTGTGAAGGAGGTGAATAGTAAGTAGTTCTTGAATATTATATTACAAACTTCACATGTTGACTGACATGTACCTGCCGGCATTCATCATATAATAATTATGATTTATTGAAACACCAAAACATATTTTTACATGGTATTCCTAATTTGTATATAATATAAATATAAATTTGAAAAACCAAAAAAAAATAATTTGTTTATTAGGTACACCATTGTTAATCACTTAAAATCATATTACATTATGGACACTAGGTGTGGTACAGTAATAGCTGGCTTTAGTGTAATCGCCAGTAGCCAGATGACAGCTGTCGGCCAACGTGTTAAATACCTATATTAATTATTTAATTTAATTAAAATATAACTTTGAAATATAGAATAGTATTTTGTTTTTTTTAATTACCATGGGTCAAAAAAATAACTAAAATAATATCATGTTTAATGAATACATTTTTTATGGCAAAATCTTTGACAGTTTTAAGCAGGAGACTAAGCTCCAAACATTTTACAATTTATTTAATTTATTTTTTTCAAAGGTGCATTCTCAGCTAAGAATTGGAAAAAAAGTTTGTATACTTAAAAGATCAGTGTAGAAAAATCAAATCAAAAGAAAATAACAAAGCAAGTGGTTCGAAAGGAGGAAAACCTCAAAAACAGTGGAAACATTTTAATAGTTTAATGTTTTTGGATGATGTTATTTTGATGAAAAATAAGTAGGTGACTGTAATAATCGGTTCAATTACTTTTCATTAATTTTGCCTTAAATATATTATTACTAATAGGACTGTATCGAGTATTGGAGAATCAGAAAGCATTAATACTGTGATGGATTTACCAACCAAAAACGTAGCAACACTTGGAACTGACAATATTAAATCAAGTATGAATGGAAAATTTTGTATTATATAAAACATTGATAATAATATTCATAGCTTCAACCATTTTATATAGAATAAGAATATGAGTATCTGGTACACTAATCAAAATTAAATTGTTTTTTTTGTTTGTATTTAGAGAAATCTGCTAGTAGCCACAAGTTTGAAGAAGCTTTACTAGAAGAATTGAAAGCTTCGAACCAAAATCACCAATTCCAGTAGAAAAATCGTCAGATCAAATATTTTGTAATTAAATTGTTGATTTAATGTCTAAAATATCACATAACAATAAAAGGAAATTACAAGGAGAATTAGTTAAATCTATACTTAGGGAGATTGATGACTAATTTTTCATTTTTTTGTTATTGTTACATGTTTTTTATTTTATAAACAAAAGGTTCTTTTTTAATTTATGTTTTTTTTGTTTTCATTACTTGTTTTTTTTAATTTATAAACTAAAAAGGTTCTTTTTTAATTTGTATTTTTTTTGTTTTATATTTAAATGTAATTTACATGGTTTTATTTTTTATTTAATTAAACATTTTTAAATAAATAAAATATTTTAAATTTTGTCATATTGAAATTGCAATTCTCCTTCGTTCATTAAATGATTTGTTATTTTCTCTCTAATCACTTTAGCTGTTTGGCCGTGATAATTTGGTCCCATATCTCTAATAGGTGCCAATGCTCAAATTGATTTCTTAAACTACTGTCATAATACATTTGAACACCTAAAGTAAGTTTTAATATTACAAGTAATATTAAATATTATAAAAAAAATAGTAATAATTAAATTATTCATTAACCTTCTCTACTTTCATATTCCTCAACATAATTGTGAAGTACAACGGAAGCTTGTACTATAGCATTAACTGTTTCTTCAGTAGCTATTATTGGTCGTCGAAATTACGCCATTTAGAGGTCATTATACCAAAAGCGTTTTCTAAGCTCTGCTTAACCTTTAAAAAATAAATTCATTACAACGATAGTGTGATATATAATAATAAATAATATATGTTATCTTACCTATAGTTAAAAACTGCTTGGTCAATAGGCAAATTTGCCTTTGATCGGCCAGGATAGGGTCTCATGACGTTTGGTAACAACATGAATGCTTCATCTGCCACAATATAGTATGGGATAAGCCCATTATAACTATAAATTGGTGCATCATCAGGAAAATCTATTTCATTAGTTAAAATTTGTTTGCCTAAATTGCATTGTCTAAAGACTCCCCCATCACTGCACCGTCCTGGTGCTCCAATATCGACAGCTGTAAAATTGTACTTGGCATCGCATATTGCTAAGAGTACAATGCTGTGAGCTCCTTTGTAATTATAATACATCGAACCACTATTCGAAAATGCCTACACAATTAAATTAATTATTTAATATTCATAATTATAACAGATCTGATTTAAATTGTAACCTGATGAACAATATGTTTTCCATTCATAGCTCCCATACAGTTAGGCATATTCCAATTATTTCTGAATCCTCCAGACACTTCCAACCAAGCGTGCTTATTTGGAGTAAAAAACACCTACATGATAAATTAATATGCAGTCAAAAATTGGTAATTTTATTGTTGAAAAGATCTATCTCAACAATTACAGAGTGATGTCAATATTATTACTTTATCTTTGAGTACTTCCCATAAAGCCAAACAACATTGTTTTATAAGTCCCGATACAGTAGACTCTCCTATTCTAAAAGAATACATTATACTGGCCATACTATCACCAGTTGCGAAGTACCTACATACAGTAAAGCACCATATTATGTATTAATACATTAGATACCTATATTATCCAGTGTCGACCTGGTCATGGGCTGAGGCCCCTGTTTATTTTTTTTTAGAGTCTTGTACATTTTTTGACTGGTAAGCTTATTCAATATCGGATTGTACTTAACTTTAGGGCGCACTTTGTCTTTATAGGGGCCAGCGCTGAGAAGTTTTGGAGCTCTAGGCAAAGTATTTTATTAGTTATTAGTAGGGCAGAAGACTTATACAGTTTTTAGCATTTGCATATTTGTTTTGCAATATCATAACAAATAGCAAAGTACCAAGCCAATACGTTTCATGCTTTCACAAACCTAGTTTAGTTCCAGGACGACACTGTGTTATTATATTTATATATTTAAATCTAATTAATATAGGTAATTATTAATAGGTACTACCTCAATGTTGCAGATAATATTTCCCTGGGTGAAAGAATATCATGCCTGTATGGATGTCTGTAAATTAAAGGAGCAACTAAAATAACCAGATCTTCAAAATTTGATGGGCTCATGCGCATGAAATTAAAAAACATGGCAGAGTTATTGAGTTGATACTCTTTTACAAGTGTAGTGTAGTGGTCCAAACGTCTACGTTCTTTGAAAATTGGTCTTACATGCCACCTTCGATCTTTTTTTCTGATACTTTAAAATGTACAATATCAATAATAATCAGTACTTTCTACTTAAACATATTACTATATTTTACAGAGTTTAATAATTTTAGTGAAATACATGTTTTTACCTATTCTTACTGCACATACAACTAATAGTTTTCGTCTGTGTACATTTTTTTGGTGTTCGAAGCATTTAAACGAAGACATAATTAACAAATAATGTTCAAAAAATTAAATTTAAAGTGCAAAATGTTTTTTTTCTAAAACTATTAGGTTAAAAAGAAAAGTTTAACATCAGAACATAAAGTATGCTATGATATTCTATTTTTCCCGCTGTTTTTTTTTTTAAAAAATTTAACTTAACCTACAAATATTAATGGTATAATAAAATATACCAAGTTTTTACGGAAACATAACGAGATAAAACACGGGAACAAATCGTCGCCTAAGAACCATCATGGCTAATCTCAGTTTTCCCAACTTTTCAGGGTGAACAAAAAACTGTTTTTTTGTTATGAATTTTGAATGTTGGTAGACCTTTTGACATTAAATAACTCTAAAAAGTTTCATCTTATTGTCAACAATAATAATAATAATATTAGTAATACTGATTTCATCGAGTTTTTGGCTGCTGACGGCTCTCTATTAATAGGGGCAATTCCGATATTTTTAGATTGGCCATGATAACATTTTTTTTTTTTTGATAACACTTTTAGATAGGCCATGATACCACCTATGATACCGCTAATAAAAATTTTAGATAGGCCATGTTACCACTGATAAAAACAATTTTAGATAGGCCATGATGACTTTTAGAATATTTATAGCAAACCTATTGGACAAACATCGAAACTAATCACTTGGTCTTATGCGTCTCGAAAATACGAATCTATAGATATATAAAACATATTATTTGAATTTTTTGAGATTGGCCATGATGGTTCTTAGGCGACGAAATTATATATTATCACGTTTCACGTTTCACGGTGAGCTGTGAAGGCGCCTTTATTATGTAAATATTGCCCTGTTGGCATATGGCGGCATTCTTATGGCAATGTAATATACAGTCGGCTATCTAGTTGTTTTATATGTCTATGAAAATATCTCAACCGATTTTTATGACTTGATAGATACCTAAATATAATTACGTATTATTATTAAATATAGATATACAATAGGTATATTATATTTATATATTCATAGTAATTATAATAGTAATTTTTATCAAACATTAGTAGTAAGCAAGGTACGTTCACCACACTTACCAAAATTTATTTTCAACATAAAATCTGTTAAATATTACAGAAATGAAAACTTACAAAAATTTAGACATATTACAATAAATATTTTAAGTATTACAGATATTTAGAGTTATTTAGAGATATTACAATAATTTAGATATATTATAACAGATATTTAGAGTTTTACAATAAATATTTTAAACATTACAGATATTACAAAAAATACTTTGAATTCTGTTAAATATTACAAAAATTTAAAATTTAGACACATTACATACATTTCTCAATACATATAAATTTTCCGCCAATCATAAATAAATTGTAAACAAATAACAACCAAAGTATTTTCGTGTTTTTTTTTATATATTACCTATATGAAAAAGTATATTGCAGCACACCATTAGCTATTCCGTTTATATAATAGTGATATTAATTCGTAATATCAAGTTTTCTGACGTCAAATAAAACATTCTAGAAGGTTCTTCTTCTCTAGATTACGTCATTATTGTGTAATATTGCATCATGTTTTTTCGGAGCTATAAATACAAGCCACTATTGAGTTTTGAGTCATTCGTGGGCATACTGTAGCCGTTTTTAGTTGTCTAAATTGTTCTATAAGTTTATGTATTCAATAAAAATCGCTAAGGTATTACTTGTTTACAGTTTAAATACAAAATAAGAACATTGAATTGAGATGTTGTATATTTACAAATAAGAAATATTGATGTTGCAATCCCAAGTTTGTAGATGTTGAATTGAGATGTTGTATATTTACAAATAAGAAATATTGATGTTGCAATTCCAAGTTTGTAGATGTTGAATTGAGATGTTGAATTGAAATCCCAATACTTGTAGATGTCCAATTGTTTTTTCAAATAGATCCTCCATTTTCTCATTATTAATATTATTAATTATTTCTCTGTCATTAAAACATCTAGTACATCCATGCCAAAAACACATATGATATTGGTATACAGTTTTTAACTTTTCATCAAAACCGTCAACTCTAACACCTAATATTTCCTTTTCACCACCATTAAAGGCATGACAGATATTTTTGTTATTAAAATGTTGTATCCACATTATAGACTGTTTAGAATAAGTTTCATTTTTCTCTTTATCTAAAACAGCTATAATGTCTTTTTTTAGAAATGTTGATCTATATATAGCCCTACAGACACCTGCTATGGTTACATATTTAAAAGGGTCAATATTAGCTATTTCTAAAAAATCTTCTCTAAGTTTCAAACTACCTCTTCTCAAAATGTCAACATCTGATGTACAATACTCTAAAAGCTCTTTCTTCGTGTCAAAAATGTAATTTTCTTGTTCTTTTAGAAAATACCATTCTAAAAAATCTTCTCTTAATTCAGGTTTCATTTGTTCAAAACAATAGTACTTTTTATCAGGAATAGGCCCAATATAATTTATATTTTCTACAGTATTAAATAAATGAGGAAAAAATCTTTTTTTTAATTCTGATAAACCAATTTTTTTAGGAAAATTTTTCTAAGGGTCCCTGAATAAAATTACTACTGTCGATAATTCTTAGATTTATTACTGGAATTTTTAATAACATTAATTTTGAACCATTTAAAATTGTTACAGGTTTAAGAGTATTTTCAACACAATATTTTAGTATAAATTGAGAATCATAGAATTTCGAATTATGTGCTATACATGTAAAATTTATATGTATATTTGATATTAACCATTTACATAGTTCATCATTTGTGTCAAATGTGTATATTTTACCTATAAAATCAGAAACAATTATTAAGTTTGGAATATGTGTACCAGTTTCTTGTTGAGCCTCATAATCCAAGAATAAATATTTTTCTGTATAGGTACATTTTGGTAGTTTTGGTTCTTCACTCTCACCAAAAATCTCATTTGCAAAAGGAAATGGGTATAGAAAATCTAATAATCCTTTTTTATTCAATTTACTATATTGTTTCACTTTATTTTCTTTTGCTTTAATTCTTTAAGATTACAATCTTCAATATTTTTAATATTTTTATCAACGTTACCTTTACATAAGCAAATAGAGACACTTACCTCCTTTCTGACTAAGCCATTGAATGTAACATTTATGTTTTGCTATTTCAACTTCTTTCCAACAATTTCTACATTTCTCTATTCCGCATTTATCTTATTTTATCTTATTTATGTTATCATTTATCTCGTTTTATCTTATTTTGACTTTGAGCACATATAATATATATTTGAATTTTTAAAATACGTTCGACATTATAAATATCATCTAACGTAAAGCCTTGTGAGTTATATGTTGTTAATAAACTACATAATTTGAATGCAAGTTCTTTTTGAATTGTTCTACCCTCCTTAAGATATTTTATTTTATTTTCATTTAATTCTTTACCTAAGTTATTTTTTGTTTTATTAGCAGAATATTCTATAGAGTTAGCTAAAGCAATAACAATAGCTCTTGGACAACATAAATTATCATCATTATTATTAATTCTAATAATACTAGATTTTTTTGTTATGTCATCAACTAAATTTAATATTCTTTTCCCTTTGGCCCCTCTAGGAATTTTTACTACTTGAACTACAAATTTGGTTTTAGAAATATCAATTTCTTGATCCGATATTAATATTTGGTCGTAGCCCATTCGGCTCCCGTTTCTCTAATCGGCTCCCGTTTTACAAAAAGGTCAATTCCCAAACGGCTCCCGTCCAAAAAGGTCTAACGAACAGGTAAATTCCTAAACGGCTCCGGTTCTGTACACCACAAATTCCTTCCCACTTTATACAGACTTAGGACTGTCTCAAAAGAGGTGTGGTTAAAAATGTCTTGGTGTACACTATGTAAATTATTAAAATTATATAAAAAAAAAAGTGTATAGTATAATATTAAATTTTAAGTTTTTAAAGTTAAAAAAATATATAAAAAATGTAAAAATAAAAATGTTAAAAAATCATATATCGGGTAAATTTGTTAAGCACAATTTTTTTATATAATCTATGATTATGATATTTTATTTGATGAAAACTCGCAAATGATTTTTTCGACAAACTCTTGCTTTTTTTTCGATCTTGGTGTATTAAAATAACTTCGAGCTTTAATTTGTGTTTCAGATTGTATATTGAGTAGGATGTCAATAACCTTAAAAATATTTGGGTGTGTAGTATTGAATTCTTTGTTGAATTTACTGTGGAACGCTTCACATCCATTTGTGGTCAAAGAAAGAGCAGATGAACACTGAGCCCACATTTTAGGAGGGATACGACTATCTGAAGTTAGGTAATTTTCAAAAATATAGTCGAAAACTTTGTCTATTTTATCATCTATAGGTTTGATAGCCATTAAATCATCTGTAAAACAATCTAAGACGTCTGACGGTGGTAAGTAAGGAAGGCAAAATAAATATTTCAACGCTCTTCCGATTCTAGAATCTTTGTCTCTGAATTCTGAAGCAAGTCCCACTGACTGAATCATACGCCACCAACTTTGACCCAAATGAAATCTACACCCCTTTATGTTAACCGATGGCCACGTTTTTCGCAATGCAATGTGAATAGCTTCCACAAAATCTACGAAAACAACTTGTGGATTTAAGTGATCACACAATGCTGAAAAAGCTTTTCCGTAGGTTACTGAGGTTTTATCTGGTAAAAAACAGTAAATAAGGGGAAGATAATATCCGTTATGTA